GAGGCGGGGAAGGAAGGAGAGGATGCACCACCTAGCCCCCCCCCCGCTTCGTGCACACAGGAAGAGAAGAGGGAGGTTTGCTTTCCCCTTTCCCATGCCGGAAAAAAGAAAAGGGAGGGGAGGGGAGAAAGGGGGGAAGGGCACCCCCTTCACCCCCTCCACCTTTCGTGTGCGGGGGAAGGGGGGGGGCTCCCGTGCCGGGGAAGAGAGGAGAGAGGGAGGGAGAAGGAGAGGAGGGAGAAGAAACCCCCTTACACCCCCCTCTCCTTTCGCGTGCGACGGAGGAGGGGGGGCTCTTCCTTTCCCGTGCCGGGAAGAAAGGAGAGGGATGGAGGGAGGGCGAGGGGGCGTGCACCTCCTTGGCCCTCCCCCCCCTTTCGTGTGCAAAGGGAAAGGGGGTACTCCCCCTTGCCCGTGCCGGGAAAAGAAGAGAGGGTAGAGGGGGGGGGAGGGGGGGGGGTGCACCCTTTTGCCCGCCCCAGGGGGTTCCCCCTTTTCGGCCCCCCAGCATGTTGTGCCGTGGGTAACGTTCCGTCATATGTCTCGACCCATTTCCCGTGTCCAGTTGTTCATCTTGATTTGGTTGTTTGACGACCCCGAAGTCTGGTAAGGGCCCCCCAAAGCTGAAAATAGCGAAGAACATCGCGTCGTGACGTTTTCATGACTCGAAGGGGTCTGTGTATCACCCCCAATCGCGCAAAGCCCGAGGGTGTCCCTGGTTCCCATGTCCGTGCTGGGTGGAAGCATACCGTTGATTCCTGCGCGCGGCCAGGTCTCCGGGAGTCCTGGTTTTACCGGCGTCGGGTTCTCAGACCCCCACAGGAGTGCAGAGAGTATGGGGAGCAGAGAGAATGCAAAGAAAGAACAAGGTGCACCAGCTAGGAAAAAACCCAAGAACTGACATTCCGAGCCCTCCCCCCATTGAGGACCCCCGAGGCCGCCAACAGGCGCCCAAAAAGACCCGAAGCGGCCCCCAATAGGCCCGAAAGAAGCCCCCAGAGAAAGGCTCGCTTGTGGACATGGAAGTGGCGTGCTGAGCGGCAGCGTTCTCCGCGGATGCTGTAGTGCAGTGGATCCAATGTGTCCAATGCTTTCATAATTCCCACACGCTGCACCGTGTTACATTATTATGTCTCCCCCCTAACCCCCCCGTGGGAGCTGCGCCACAGGAACGGACAAAAGTGCCCCCTCCCCCTCCCGGGGCTCAAAAACTTACCAACACCTATAGAAAATCTATGATTTCGACCTCTTGGGCCTCTTGGGGGGCCAAGTGGGCGCCAAGACGGGTCAAAATGGGCTTTGTGCGGGCCAAGACGGCCCCGACACGGTCCAAAACTGCCCCAAGAGGGCCCAAAAAGCCCCAATGACGGCTCAAGAGGGCCCCAAGAGTGCCCACAACTGCGCCTTCAAAAGCCAAGACCATTGATTCCCCATTGGTTTGGTAATATTTTAGCGTTCTCGCCTTTGCGGCCCAAGCAGCTCCCCAAATCGCTCCAGAACAACCCAAGAAGCCCCCAAGAGGGCCCAAATACGGCCCAACAAAACCCCAAGACGGCCCAAGGAGGCCCCCAAGACGGTCCATGAGGCCCCTATGACGGCCCAAGAGGACCCCAAGACGGCCCCAAGGCGGCCGCGAGAGGCCCCCAAGACGGCCTCCGAAGGGGCGAAACGGCGCAAAAGCGCCCCAATACGGCCAATGACGCCCCCAAGAGGCCCCAAGAGGCCCCCAAGGGGCCCCTAAGGGGCCCCCAAGGGGCCCCTAAGGGGCCCCCAAGGGGCCCCAAAAAGCCCCCAAGAGGCCTCCAAGATGTCTTCAAGAAGCCTCCCGAAGGCTCCAAAGAAGCCCCCCAAAGGCCACACAGCGACTGGAGTGCAATGCCATTTTTCCAACCTGGGCGAACTGCGGCGCAGCGCCAGCCAGGTGGAAGTTGGTCACAGCGGCGCCCATGATTAGAGCCGGCGCTGGAAGGAAATATGGGGAGGGAGCATGAAAAGGAGGGAGGGGGGAGAGGCCCCAAAGAAGTCCCCAAGAGGCCCAAGGAAGCTCCCAGGAGGCCTCCAGGAGGCCCCCAAGAGGCCGTCAAGAAGCTCCGCGACGACGTGACTGTACGTGCTCCGGACGTGCACCCCGCGAAGCGAGAGGAATACAAGAACAGACGCGCAGGCGCAGAACAGCGCAAGCGTGGAGAGATCATAGACAGCCTAAAACGAATAAGCTTCACGAGTCATACCATGCAGAGGGTGCTGGGCGGATGCGTGGGCGCATGGCGCAGCGAGTGTAGACTGCGCGTGTAAAGCGTTGAGGATGTCGACTGCGCACAGGATGCATCGAGCGTCGAGCGTTCAGAATTTAGAACCAACACAGGACGCGTAAAGCATCCACGGGGCAGAGAACGTGGACAGCAAAGAGGCAAAGAGAAGCAGGTATTATATAAAGAGAAGCAAAGACAGACAGAGATAGAGAGAGAGAGAGAGAGACAGAGAGATAAACTAGAGCACGGGGGACACAAACAGCAGAGAGGGCGCAGGGCGCACAGCACATTACCCGAATATTGCAAAACGCATGGTGCCCGAAGCTCAGGAACATGGAAGACAACCAAGGGCTGCATCGAATCAAGGGACATAATCAAATCGGGAACCGATTCGAGTCGGCATGTGTCGGGTGGGCGTCGGAACACCCAGGCGCTGGACCGAATCGAATCGGAATCGATGTTGCACCAGTTGGAGTTAGGGCACCCAGGCCGAGTCGGCATCGAACCTGAAGGAAAACCAAGATGCACTTAGGAACCCATGCCAACCAACCAAGTGGAAGACGCAGAGGAGACAACTGCATCATTCCCGCACCACCACCTGCCCGCCGAAGCGGCACGACCCCGGGCACCCCATGCAAGGCACCCCGCAGACACGCCGCGCCCCCATGAACCCCCGCATCTCAGACAGCAAGACGAACCAGAGAAGGCCACGAGGCCGAGAGCTGAGAAAGACACCGAGAGCCTCGTGCTTCGGCCTGCCCTATCACCAGTCGTGGGCGGAAGGAACCTGCACTGAGCTCGAAAGCCCGCGCGGGCACTCTGGGACCCGCCGGGCCACGTGTGGAGGGGCCCCGCGGCAGGCCCGAGATTGGCGCGCGTCCCCCGCTGGCTCGGCCAGCGCGGCACCGAGGGGGCCACGCGCCAATCCGCCGGCGGCGAAGCTGGCCCTTTTGTCTACGGCGGCGCAGATCTCGGGCCGCCCACTCGCCTTCAGGCGCCATTCGCAGCTGGGCAGTGCGGCATTGCTTCCCGGGGATCTTGCAACACCGCCGCCCAGCCAGGGAGCTGGCGTTCCTCGAGGCGGCCCCAGTCGCTCGGCAGCGCCACGGCCTTGGAGTCCCTGCTGGCGTCGCTCGGGAGCCGGTCCAGCAAGTCCTCGAGGCGCGCGCGGATGAAGAGGGCAGACTGGCTCGTCACCCGCGAAAAGTGGGCGCAGTAGGCCGCGCGCCTCAGCAGCCCCCAGACGACGAAAACCAGAACGGTCACCCCCGCGCTCGGCGATCTACGGATAAACGATACCCCTGCTCAAGCCCCACACCCACGTGCGGGGCACAGATCGAAATCTAGCTCGGGAGGCCGAGTCTGCAAGATCCGCGCCCTACCCTCGTGGCCTCCTACGTGAGAGGCAGCGGCGCGGGGAGTGCAGAGAACGTCGACCGCCGACGTCCTTGAGCTCGCATGCCAGAAAGAGCTCGTCTCCCAGGGGCCCAGCCGACGGCGTCAAGTTCTCTTGAATCGGCCCAGAAGTACAGCCGACACCTCGTCCACGGCGCGCGGCGCCAAGCCGCGTAGATAGAGTTTCAAAGTCGGCTCAAAGTGCGGCTGATACGCTTCAGCGGCGTCAACCAGCCCCATGCCGACGCTGCCCTTGCCGAACTGTCGCCACTGCGTGCGAAACTCGCGCGGGGCCGTCGCCAGGAGATCATGAAGCCGCGCCCGCTTGTTGACCTTCCCTGGCGCAGAATGGACAGGAACGAACGGAAAGGTGGCGTGTTTGTCAAGGATGTGTTCTGTTCAGGCCTTCACGGCAGCCGGGGTGAACTCGGGGCGCGGACAACCCCGCGCGGCGTCCCATTCCGCGGAAAGAATCCAGCGCTACGGTGGGAGCGGCACGATCCTTATGCGGACAATATCCCGGTGACTTACCCATGACCTGTTTCAGAGCCAGGCGGCCGCGGTAAAACCGTGACAGGATGCACTCGAACATACCGCCTACCCACCTCCCTGGCGGCCGAACAAAACAAGTATCCAGCCGATAGCTGATGATCCGCCAATTCGATCTAGATCGGAATCAGACAAGCGTACCTGTCTGCCAAAAGATCTGGCCAGCACCAGTCACGTTCTGAGCAACTTGGAAAACGATGCAATTCCTTGAATAGCGGGCGATTTCTCTCTGATATCTCGTGGGGGGGAAACAAGGCAGCAGCGAAACACTTTCCAATCTACAGGCGCATGGAAGCTTGGCATGCTAGGCACATTTTGAACATATCAGATTGGCCGAGAGGAGGGACACGCAGATGTATCCAGGCGCGCCGGGAGAAAACATGCAGCACGCAGGCCATTTCTGCCACAGCTGACCTCTGATTACCCTGGCCCAAACATCCACATGAATCGCAGTCCGCTCACTACATCGCCCATCTTCTGACAGCGCGTCACGCGATGAGCGACACGCTGTTGTCTTCGCGCCCTCCCGAGGCCACTTCTCTGGCCCAGGCCGCGCGAAGCGCGGTTACCATCTCGCCCCAGAAGCGGGACCTAGGCTGCACTCGGGGACGCACTGACCCGGGTCAATGCAAGCCCGTGTCAGTCAGGCCTTGCAAGATCCTGCAGGATCCTGCACCCAAGCCCGGGTCAATGCAACCCTGGCTCCGCAGGATCCTGCAATATCCAGCGCTCTGACTGACACTGGATTGCATTGACCCCTGTTTCTTGAGCCCCGATTCACACCATCACGCAGCGTCGAGCCACCTTGCTCGAAAGCTGCTCCAGGTTGAGCTTGTGCCTCATCGGGACGTCGAAGTCGTCTGCCTCGACAAACCCCGAGGGGCGGGGCCCTTCATTTTCTGGGCTCTGGCCTGTCTCGGGCTCATCTTGAGATAGCTCGGAGGCAGGTCAAGCATGTCGTGTGAGCGACAAAAACAAACGGGTCTACGCGAGATGGCATAGCCACCTTACGCGGCGGCTTACACGGGCCGCCCGCGCGGCACGCCACATTGGAGACGCGGGCGCTTACGCGACACCTTACGCGGGCAGCATACGCGCCAACGTCGGCGCAGACGACCCCGATGGTTTGCGTCGCCCATGCGCACGCATGTATGGACGTGGTATGCTTCCTACGTAGATAAACGTTCAACAGGTGACCCTCTAGACTAATCTACTTTCCCGTGGCCCTCTACTGAATTCCCTCTACGACTCCAAGCACATGCAGGAAGAGGAGGATAAGGATGACTAGCCATGGTTCCAGCCCTCCTCAAGTTTGACATGTGAATCGTAGTCCAGAGCTTCTCCTCCCCTGATGCCCAAGTCACACACGCATCAGTATCCGAGCCCTGCCCTCGGGTGGGGGGCCAAGGTGTCCTCCGCCATGGGTACAACACTGACCAAATTCGGCAGGAGCTAGTGCAACAAAGAACTGCACACCGATACGGCAGCTCGTGTCGTGCCGACTTCGGCGCTGGCTTCTGACACCGCGGGGACCGCTCAACCTTGAACGATCGGCCGTCCCCAACTGACAATCAACATTGGGGAAACGGGTCCTGAGGGAAACGGGTCCTGAACCCCAGGGCCTTCCAACAGCACGAGCTTTTCATCCCGAGTCGTTTTCTGACAGTCCCAGGGCCCGTGGAGGGCCCAGAGAGCCCGAAAACAGCGAAACAACCTCAGGACCAGTTTCCCTCAGGACCCGTTGCCCCCACGGCGAGCAACATCCTGGGCGTCGTTGAACGAGGGGGCGATACACGGGGGGGGGGGGGAGAAAAGTGCATTTGTCGGGCCCTCGAGGCCCCCGCTTTGGCCCTTAAGGGCCCCCTAAGGGCCCCAGAAGGCCCTTTTTCTGCAGTCTTCGCTGCCCTCCCGTGCATCGCCCCCCATTGCACGCGACGCCCAAGCTTCGACCGATTCTGGGTCGCCGGTCGGCTGGTGGGTAACTCCCAAAACCGGGGCAACGGAGGGCCGAAAGGGGGGGGACTCGGCCCCACGTGGCTCCCAAACACGTTGTGGCGGCTCATGGGAGCCTCCAGCGCCATCTTGTTAGCTCTCGCGAGCCGACGCTGGTCGACTATCATCGACGCTGAATCGACGCTCAACCGATTTTGGATCGGACCTTATTCATCAACTACCCAACGCTTACCGGCGCTATTGCAGTCGAAGGGCGGAATTGATTTCAACAAACGAGTTGACATATCCCATGCTCTTGCAAACATCCCACCCACCCACCTACCCGCAATTTGGTTTGCAAAACCAATGCGGTGGCGATTGCGATGCATGCTTGGCGTTGGCTGGTGCATCTCTGCGGCCGCGCCATCCCCAGCACGCGCGCGCAGCGGCCAGCTAGTTTGGTGCCACCGACGCGGCCGCGGTGGCGCTGACCGCTGGGCGCATGCCAGCGGGCACTTCACTGCGAATCGGCGACTTGGGCGGGAGCGGTATCATGGCAACACCGACAACGGTAGACACGATGATGATAGTGGCGATGCTGTTGACGATGTTCGCACCGACGAGGCGCGGCCAGTGCGGGCGCCGATGCTGATCACACCGACGACGATGACGGCGTCTTCGCGTCGGTGACGAAGGTTTTGGAAAGAGTTCGACATGCGCGCGTGGCCGACTCGCGAGAGTGGCCCGCATTATTTGGCACGGATCGTCCCCCCCCCCAGCACGCGCGCCATGGCGTGCGCATGATGTCGGCATGCGGCGCCAGAGGCCCGTTTGGCAGAATCCATTGAACATGTTGAGAAGCCGATGGCTTTCTTAAGGATTCGCAAGATCGCGAACGCACGCTTTTTTGAAAACTGATGTTGTGAAGCCAGTTGTTTTCAGATGGTATTTAAACACTCGGTTTTGACATCGCTTCGAAACTGAATGTACTTATTGCGGGAGTTCGGCATGCGCGCGCGACGACGCGCGCGTGTGCATTTCGTCCTATTGTCTGCAAAGGGTTCTCGCGACACGCGCGCAAGGGCGCTCGAACGATTTCGACATGCGCGCGGGCGAAGCCCGTTTGGTATAATGTTCTGAACATGTTGAAAAACCGATGACTGTCGTAAGAATTCGGACGAGCGCGCGCACGTTTTTTTTTGAACACCCGTGTTGCGAAATCATGTGTTGTTGTATGTGTTTCGTACACTCGATTTTGAATTCCTTCCGAAACCGAAGGTTTTGAAGGACGGCACGCGCGCGCGACGACGCGCGCGTGTGCACTTCGCCTCATTTGTTGCAAGGGGTTCATGAATACGGATGATTTGTGGTAAACGAGTGTGCGCACAATGTTTGTTGCAAAGGACGGCTGGGGGAGTCGGTACCGGCTGGGCTGGGATGTACGAATTCACATTTAGGATGGACGATGGGGCAGAATCATATGTAAATTTCGGCACGAAGAAATACACCATTAAGCCCAGGGGGGATCCAAATTCTTTGTTTGAAAGAATAAATAAAAAGGGTACACATGACTACCCACCAAGCCGTCCCAACACAACCAATATTCTTGGCTCTGGCGAACCGACGCTGATCGATTACCGTCGACCATGAATCGACGCTGATCGACGTCGACCGATTCTGGGTCCCATTTACCCACGGCGATCAACTGCGAGGCTGGGATTTATCCATATCCACCACCTGGGAACCGACGCCCCGGTGCCCCAGCGGGCGGTGGATATGTATACATTTTGCCCCTCGCAAGCTGGAATATATCTATACAGATGTTGATATATGTATACACATACACGGTCAGCCCCCCCCCCCAGCACCCATTCTACGCCTTCCTCCTACGCCTTCCTCCTTTTCCACGAAGCTGGAGTCGTGCCGTTCCCCTCATGTTTCCCTTCCCTCTCTGATCCTCTTCTTCGTCGCTGTTCCCCCGCATCTGCCAGCAGCACATTTTCAACAAGCGCCAACGTGACAGATGCAAGCGTCTGCTTCCTCTACATAGAGGGGAAACAAGCGCGTGAGCCATCCTATAGACGAGAAATCAGCAAACCGCGTAATGTCACCGGGACTCCTAGGATTTCGGGGATACAAATCCACGACACATCGGTTTTTCAGTTGGGTTCCTGGGATTCCTGGGATTTCATACCCTGGAGCAAAGCCACCATTGGAATCCCCAGGAAGCTCAATGCTCAGAACCCTAGGAATCCCAACAAAATCATAAGGTTCGCGATGTCGGTGATGCGAAAACCTTCTGATTGAATCTAGATTCCTGGGATTCCTGGGATGCAAATCCACGAAGCCCTGCGATTTGAATGGGATTCCTTGGGTTCCTGGGATTTTACACCCTGGAGCAAAACCAACCTTGGGACCCCCAGGAGGTTCGAGGCTCAGAATTCCCGGGCCCCCAATGAAATCGCAGTGTTCGCGACGACGGTGATACGCAAACCTTATGAGTCCACTCGGATTCCTGTGATGATTCCTGGGATGCGAATCCACGAAACCATGTGATTTCACATGGATTCCTGTAGCCCTGGGATTTCATACTCTGGAGCAGAACCAACCTTGGGATCACCAGGATGTCCAAGGCTCAGAATCGGAGAGATCCAACTGAAATCATTAAGGTTCGCGAAGTCGGTGATGCGCAAACCTTGCGATTTCACTGGGGTTCCTCTCATTTCTGGGACGCTAATCAATGAAACCTTACGATTTCATTTGGATTCCTGGGATTTCCAGCCACTGAAGCAAAACCAGCCTTGGGTTCCCCAGGAGGTCCAGGGCTCAGAATCCAAGGAATCCAAATGAAATCGCAGGGTTCGCGACGTCGGTGGTACGCAAACCCTACTGTTTAATTTGAATCCCTAGTATTCCTGGGATGCGAATCCACGAAACACTGCGATTTCATTGAGATTCCTGGGGTTTCGTACCCTGGAGCAAAACCAACCTTGGGATCCCCAGGAACTCCAAGGCTCAGAATCCACGGAACTCCTATGAAATCGCAGGGTTCGCGACGCGGGTGATGCGCAAACCCTATGTGCTCATTGGGATGCATTGGATTTCTTAGAGTTTCAGCCCTGACACTCAGTGACCCCACGGTTCGTACTTTGTTTTTTGCTCTGGGGCTGGAAATACCAGGAATCCGAGGAATCCACATGAAATAAAAGGTTCCGTTGATTTGCATCCCAGACATCCTAGGAATACAATTGAAATCAAAAAAGGTTTGCGCATCACCGACGTCGCGAACCCTGTGATTTCATTCTGATTGCTGGCATTCTCAGGGTCTGGAAATCCGAGGAATCCCAGGAATCCAAATGAAATCAAAAGGATTTCGTTGGTTAGCATCCCAGAATTACAAAGAGTCCAAATGAAATCACAAGGTTTGCGCATCACCGACGTCGCAAACACTGCGATTTCATTGGGACTCCTGGGATTCTGAGCCCTGGACCTCCTCGGGAGCCCAAGGTTGGCTTTGCTGCAAGGGCTGAAAATCAGAGCAATCCCATGAATCCCGCTGAAATCATAAGGTTTCGTGGATTTGCATTCCAGAAATCCCAAGGACCAAATGAAATCATCGGGGTTGCGCATCACCGGCGTCGCGAACCCGGTGATTTCACTGGGATTCCTGGAATTCTGAGCCCTGGACCTCCTGGGGGTCCCAAGGTTGGTTTTGCTCCAGGGCCTGGAGATCCGAGGAATCCCAGGAATCCCAATGAAATCGCAGGGTATCGTTGACTAGCATCCCAGAAATGAAAGGAACCCCAGTGAGATCGCAAGGTTTGCGCACCACCGCCTTCGCGAACCTTGTGATTGCACTGGGATTCCTGGGATTCTGAACCCTGGACCTCCTGGTGATCCCCAGGTCGGTTTTGCTCCAGGGTATGACATCCCAGGAAAACTTAGGAATCCCACTGAAATCGCAAGGTTTTGTGGATTCGCATCCCAGAAATGAAAGGAATCCAAATGAAATCATAAGGTTTGCGCATCACCGACGTCGCGAACCCTGTGACTTCACTGGGATTTCTGGTATTCTGAGCTCTGGACCTCCTGGGGATCCCAAAGTTGGTTTTACTCCAGGGGCTGGAAATCCCAGGAACCCCAGGAACCTCAAAACAATCACAGGGTTTCGTTGATTAGCATCCCAGAAATCAGAATAATCCCAATGAAATTACAGGGTTTGCGCATCACCGACGTCGCGAACCCTGGAAGAGGAGGAAGAGAGGAGGAGGAGGAGGAGGAGGAGGAGGAGGAGGAATAAGAGAAGGAGGAAGAGGAAGGAGGAGGAGGAGGAGGAAGGGGAGGAGGGGGGAGGAGAAGATTGACGAGAAGCAGGAGGAGGTAGACAGACAGGGGGCGAAGTGACAGAATGGACGAGCAGAGGGATAGTAAGAAGAGGTGGAGTTTTAGCTCAGGAGACGTTCGATAAGGAACCCAGCGTCTCGCCACCAATCGGCGGCCTGTTGTGAGCTACATCGCCCACGTCGCCTCGCAACGAATGAATCCGCCGAGGTCTGGCCCTCCAGATGACGTTCTTTATTCAATGCCGCCGTCGTAGGGCGAGAACGGGATCGGACAGTAAAGAACACGCGAGTGCGAGCAGCGCGAATCGCAATGAAAATCAATGGGTGCTGTGGCGGGGGTGCGCATACACACACTCTCTCTCTCACACACACACATATCTATATATGCATATATAGATATATGCATATATACAAGACTGCAGTGGCGCTTCGCGCCATACACCTTGGTCCTTGAAGATTGGTATGCCAGCGGAAGTGGCAGGAAGCTCAAGCGGACAACTTAGCGACAACTCCCTGCTGCCTTTCCTGGCATCGCCATTATAATAATGCTGTTCGTTATCCTTCCTCCATGCTTGCTGTTCCTCCTTCTCGCCATACCCTGGGCATTCTCCTCATCCTCCTCAGCTCTTTTTGCGGAGGCTCCTCCTTGGAGAGCCTCGGGGGGCTTCACCAAAGTTCTCAAGCTTTCTTAGAGTCTTCTGGAGGCCTCCTGAGCGTGTTCTGGGGGCCTCTGGAGCTTCCTACGGACAACCTGCCTCAAACCGCGGTCTTCCTGAACGCCCCAGTCACGATTTGGAATGCTTCGGAGGGTGTCTTAGGGCCATCTTGGGCCGCCATGGGGCTCTCTTAGGGCCATTTTGGACCCCTGTTGAGCCGTTTCGGGGTTCTCTTGGACTGCCTGGAAACCCTTTCGGATGGTTATGCGGCGATTTTGGAGCCTCCCAGGCGACTTCGGACGCCCAGAAGACCGCTATCTTAAAACATCAAAAACCGAAAAGAAAAGAACCCCAAATTCACCAAAAACCTACATTAAATCAATTATTTGTCCCTCTTGGGGCCTTCTTGGGGGGGCTCTTGAAAGCCTCTTGGTACGTTTTGGAGCGATCTTTCGGGGTATGACGGCTTCTTGGAGCGCTCTTGTGCTGTCTTTGGGTTCTCTGGGACGTCTCCGATGACCCCCCTGATCGCCCTAGGTGTGCTGCGAAGGCTTCGCATAACGCCCTGCGAGGCCCTGGGGGCCGCTTCGAGGCCCGTCCGAAGGGTCCCGAAGTCCCAAGTCCCGGGAGACCGGTTTTGGGGGGGGTGACGGGTTTTCCCTCCGCCCGGGCTTGCAAAAAAAAATAGGAAGAGGAATATGTAGATACCCGCCTGTGAAAGTGCGCGAAATTCGATCCCCTAGGCGGTGGTTACGGATAAATCTCCGCCTCGGATCAAGACCGACCAATTCTGGGTCGCCAGCGGCGTTCAACCGGTTTGCGCGCCTCGGGCGCCGTGGTTGTCGTCGTCGTCGCCGCCGCCGTCGTCGTCGTCGTCGTCGTCGTCGTCGTCGTCGTCGTCGTCGCCGTCGTCGCCGCCGCCGCCGTCGCCGCCGCATTCCCGCGGCTGGGCCGCCGCCGCGTCGACAGGTCGCGGGCCCTGCCGCAAGCAGCGAGAGAGAGAGAGGCGCAGGCCGCCCGGCGGGGGGAAATGGGCGGAGGCTGGGGGCCCCGTGCCTCCGGCAGCATCTCGGCCAGTGCCTGCTCGGCCTCCTGACAGGCATGCTCGACTCAAGATGGTGGACGTTGTCCTATTCGGCGTTTCGACATTGGGCGGGAGGGAGGGGGGGGGGTCGGGGGTCTGGCTCCGGACTCTGCTTAAGGCGACTGTGTACAACAGTGCGTCCCATGGTGGCGACTCCACCTGCTTGAGTCAGGTGCCAAAAACAGCCAAGAGATTACTCCATGGGGGAGGAAAGGGGGGGTGCGAGGGCCCACGCCGATCGGCAAAACAATGAATAAGACAACGGTCGCATACGAGCAGTTTATGATTATGTCATGTTTCTTCGAGTCTTTCCCCTTTCATCTCCCACATTCCCCTTCATCCCCCCTTCATCCCCTTCATCCCCCACATCGAAAGGAAAAACAAACTGCAGAAACATAAACTTTCGACGGCCGCGCGGATCTCTTGGATCTGCGCTAGAGCGCCAGGGGCGGCACCGGAGGCGCCGCCGCGGGGGGCCCAGCACAGATCCAAGAGATCCGCGCGGAGCGCCGACAGTTTATGCTTGTGCAGTTTTTCTTCTTCGAGCCCTTCCCTTTTCATCCCCCACATCCCCTCCCGACCTCATCCGCCCGTCCCTCGTCCACATACTGCACCTAGGCGGCGAAGAGTGTAATACCCTTGTACCTTCACTGAGACGCAGGAGCCAGGGACAGGGGGGACGGTGTCCCATTCAAGACGCGAGGGTTCGGCCGAAGACCGACCAACAACGCATCATGGCCCGCCGTTGTTTCGCACGCCAGCCCGTGACTCATTCGTGAAATGTACCAGGAACAAGTGCATAACAACATAAGCTGTCGACGGCAGCCCAGATTTCTTGGATCTGCGATGGACCTCCTCCCCGGCGCGCGAAGCGCGCCAGGGGCGGCGCCGAAGGCGCCGCCAGGGGAACCCGGCGCCGATCCAAGAAATCCGCGCGGAGCACCCAAGATTTGTGTTTATGCCTTATGCCCTCTTCGAAGACCAGATGAATGATCACAAGAGAATCCAGCGGCGAGCGAGGGGGGAGGTGAGAAGGGGCGGGCCTTCTCAAAAGGCTCGGAAGTCCCCCAGCCTCCTGAGAAGTTTTCTGAGCCTCCCCCGAAAACACCGAAAACTTCTCAGAAGACGCGAGGGCTTCCGAGAAGCCCCGCCGCCTTCTGAGAAGGCCTCCTCCCTCTCACTTCCTCCCTCCCTCACATTTATCCTTCTCCTGCCCCTCCTCCTTTCCCCCTCGTCCTCCTTTCTCCTTTTCGGTTATCTTTCTCCTTCTCCTTCGCCTTCTCCTTCTTTTTCTCCTCCTCACTTCCCCCCCCACTCCCCCCTCGCCGCCGAGAAAATATGCCGGCGGGCGTTCCCAAAGGGCTCGCTCTGTGCAAGCCGCGGCCGTGGAAACAGCCGCGGGTTTTCGAGCGCCTCGAGCCCGCGCGCCCCGACCCCGTCGCCTCGAGAGCACGTCATCGTCGCCCTGGCCGCGTGCCGCCTCTCTGCAGGCCCCGGGGGGCCTCGGCCCTCGAGTGGGCACCCCCACTGCTCAAGGGCGCCTGCCTTCTCACTTCCCTCCCCGTCGCTGGCCGCCGAGTTCAAATCTCAGACACGAGCCACCCAGGTACCTACGCTTCGAAATCTCCCCCGCCCCGAGGGACGGCGGCCCAAGCCCGCTGATCGGCAAAAGCCTCAGGGGAAGCACTCAAGCTCCATTGCTTACATGGCCTGCTCGTGAGTCAAGAAGGGCGCCTGCCTGCCTTCGCGCAGGGGGGGGCATCTTTCCCAAACCAAACTGGTCTTCCCAAACCAAAGCTCCAGTAAAGGTGACCGGGGGCTTGGATTGGGAATACCTGGTTGGTTGGTATGGGAAGGCCCGGCTGGTTTGGGAAAGCCCGGGGCGCGGTTTGGGAAAACCCACTTGGTCATAACTACGGCGCGGCTGGGGGTGTCCCGCCGTGGTGTCCCGCCGTGGTGTCCCGCCGTGGTGTCCCGTCGGTGTCCCTTCGGTGTCCGCGGGCGGTGGCCGGGGGTGTCCCGACGTGGTGTCCCGTCGGTGTCACGTCGGTGTCCCGTCGGTGCCCCGTCGGTGCCCCGCCGGTGTTCCGTCGGTGTCCCGTCGGTGTCCCGTCGGTGTCCCGTCGGTGTCCCGCCGTCGGTGTCCCGCCGTCGGTGTCCCGTCGGTCTCCGAACGGTGCCCCGTCGGTGTCCCGATTGGTGTCCCGATTGGTGTCCTTTAGGTTCCCCAGTCCCCAGTGACGTTTCGATTGGTGGTTCGATGGTGTCCCTTTGGTGTCCCGATAAGTGCCCCGATTGGTGCTCCGATGGTGTCCCGACGTGTCCCAGACGGTGTCCCGATGGTGTCCCGATCGTATGGCGGTGCCCCGATGGTGCCCCGATCGTATCGAGGTGGTTTCCAGGATCGCGAATGAGATTGATAATCAGATTTGGGGGGTGAGCTCGAAGGGAACCGGAGACGCCAAACGGCCCACCACCACCCGACACGGGGTCGTAGTGAGATCGATGGAACGAAACCGAACATGACATCGGTCAAATGAGATCAGGAAGTTGACATCGATGGCCGAATTCGACAGGGACATCGACCGCTCAGCCACGGGATCGACAATGATATTGAGAGGCAGAGAGAGAGGTCAGGCGGGTCCTTGGTGCGCGGGGGCGGGGGCGTGAAGGCGTGGTTTCAGCCTCCGACGTGGCTCCTGGCCCTCGGCTCGGAGATGGCGCGCGCGGCCGGGCCCGCGCGGGGGCGGGCTGGTGGCGCCATGGAGCTCGCCGCCGGGCGCGGTGCGCTGGGCCGACAGCGCGGCTCGGCGGCGCCGCCACTGCCCTCGAGATGGGAGGGGTGCGTGGCCGAGCCTGGCCCAGAGGCGGGGGGGCGGGGGCGCGCCCCCGCGCGGGGGCTTGGCTGCGAGTGGCCCCTGGGCGACCTCGGCGGCGCGCGGGAACGCGCTGGCGCGGCTGAGCTGATGGGCGTGATCAGCGGTGCATTAATGGGAATGCGCCTCATGGTGCCGCCCCGCTCGGGGAAGCCGGCTCTGGACGCGGCATTGAAAGCCAGTTGCCCCCTCGGTGCGCCCCGCGAGCTGGTCCGACTGGGCGCGCGGTGAGCGGCGCCCTGGTACTGGGCCAGGTGGTGGCCCTCCTGTGCGTCGCTGTCGCCAGCGAGGGGCGCCGTTCGCGGCGGCGGGGCAGGGCGTCTCGGCGGGGCGCGGGAAGGCGTCGGTGGCCTAGCGCCCGCGCGGCGGCCTCCCCCGCGGAGGCGCAGCAGGCCTCGGCGGTTAGCGCAGGGAGGGTGGAGAAAACGCACCACTTCGCGGACGAGCTGCAGGGCGGCGCCCCCGCGCGCAGCCCCGCCGCGGGCAGAGCCGGCATCTGCCATCGGAGGGGCGTCGGCGCCGTGGATTCGGGCCCCGGGCGGGGGCGGGCCAGCGGCGATCAGAAGATCGGCGGCCGTCGCATCTCGGGCGACGGTCCGCGCGAGACGCCGCGGGCACATGCGGAGGCAGCGCCGCCCCACAGGGGCGGCGGGGTTGTGGCAGCACTCGGTCGTCCGTCCTGCGGCAGCAAGAGCAGCGCGCGCCCCGACGGCAAGCGCTGAGAGGAGTAGGGTGCCTCTGAGGAACCACCCTGGATGGGCGCCAGTGAGCTGCTCGGGCCGGCGGATGGCGCGCGGCTCCGGGCCTGCGGGCAGCGGTCGCTGCGCGACGGCCTCGGGCGGCGCAGTCCGTCGGCTGGCCCGGCGCCCGCGGCGACCCGCCCGGGGCCCGTGGCAGGTTTGAGGGGCCGCGGGGGCGCTGCGGCGCTCCCCGCGGGATGGGCAGGTGCACCGCTGAGCTTTGCTGCCGTGGGTGGGGCAGTCGGCGTTGCGCTGCGCGGCGAGCGGAGCGCGTCGCGCCCGCGGGCGGGCGTTATGAGGGCGAGCAGAACAAGCGCGAGGCGCGCCATGCTGCGCAGCCCAGCGACGCGAGATTTGCCTGGAATGGCTGCGAGGCGCGAGTGCTCGAGGGGGGGCGCAAATGGCCAGCCGCCCCCGATGTCACGCAGACCCCCTTGCACGCAGAGCACGCGCAACCCCGCTGCACGTGGCGACGAAGCCAAGCAAGGGAATCAAACCCATCATGCAATATACACGCCCCGTATCTGGACCCCCTGAATTGACGCGCGCACCCTCGCCCGGGGTCGCAGCGGAGGCCGCGCAAAACTGGGCGAGAAGGAGGAGACCTTCCGCGGGCGCAGCTCTGTCGGCCGAGTGGAACCAACTGAGGCACCTTCGCTGCGGACTTGGGCGCGCAAGGCCGCGCGCCCGACTCGGCGGGCCTGGTGCCGGCGCGATCATGGCTGTTCGACCCGTGGCCAGCGCCGTCGGGGGGAGGCTCGGTGGCTTCCTCCCCCGAGGGGTCGACGGGGACGTCGGCTGCGGCCTCTGGCCCCCGTGCGCGCCAGGCGCTGGCCGCTGCGTCGGCGCCTCCCACGGGCGCGCCCCAGGCGGCCGCGGGCGGGGCATGGCAGACCACGAGCTTGTTACAACGTTGAACGACAGGTCGCCCAGCCTGATGGAAGCGCTGGCCCGGGCCTTGCTGAGATCCGCGGACGGGGCCCTGAGCCCGTAGATCGAGTCGAGCGTGTCCGCTTGAGTGGTCACGAGGTGCTCTGTCGACTCTGTAACCGCGGCGACTTCTGCTCCCAGGCTGCGGGGCGCGCTGATCTCGCGCGTCGGCGAGGCCCGCGAGCGCGCTGGAGCCGCGCGCGGGGGCAAGGGACAGGGCGGCGAGAGTGGGTTCAGCGGCGGGCGCGCCGAACTCCGCTGCGCCCCCGTCGCATCCCCCCTCGATGTGGTCGACGACCATGGCTTGATGGTCGGGTGGCGGGCCCGCGTCAGCGGGTGCGGCGCGGGGGTGGCGGGCTCGAGCTTCGGGGCCTTGCCGGGGGGGGGGGGCGCGGGGGGCGCCCCGCGGTCGACAGGGGGCCCGCATGCTCCTCGACGGTGCTCGGCGAAAGCGATCATCCA